CCCCCCCACCCCCCAATAATTTTAGAAAATAAAAAAAAGTATTGTGATACGTTTCGGTAATCTATACCTTCTACGGTGATTAAATCCCACATCCCCACTCAGTCATAGACTTGCATGTTGTAGAGCATTTCCGACAGTCTATTTTTCTAAATTTTCTTGAAGAGGTCCCCAATACCCCTCACAAGGACTCGCTACTTTGGCGCTCACACGGGGACTTTGTTGAGGTTCGCAAGTACGTTCGTTTGACATTTTGTTCTCTGGTCGGATAAACTAGTGATCAGGCGACGGGCGGTATCTGGTTAGATCTATTTATCTCGACGATCGGTGCCTGACTGATTACTGTCAGACAGCATTTCCGGCAGTCTATTTTTAAAAATTTTCTGGGGGAGGTCCCCCATATCCTTCGTAAGGACTCCCTACTTTGGCGCTCGTGTGTGGTTGAGGTTCGCCAGCCTGTTTTTCAAAATTTTCTGGGGGAGGACCCCTACCCCTAGTTGAAGTTCGTGCCTTTGCCCCCTTAACCTTGGACTTTGCCCAAGCTTTGCCCCTCCAACCACCGACGGCTGGCGCCGCCACTGCTCCAGCCTGTCAAACCTATAGGCAAATCCGGCACCTATACAGGGTAATGGCACTTCGTCGAAAAGTTATGAATAAACTACGCACATTTAGTTATAAATTCGTGCCCCGGGCATGGTATGCTTACTGTTTTAAGAACATCTTATACTATGGGAGATGGTTTCTAGCTCAAACCGCAATCAGCTTTATTTTAGTGTTTTTCTCTAAACTTATTACCTATATTATGTTGTACAGTTGTACTGTTTGTTAGGTCTATATTTTGTAGAACTGTTTTCCTGTATTTTTTTAAAAATCAAAATTAAAACAAACGATTCTAAATTAAGGTCGGCGTTGTATAAAATAATAATAAAACATGGGCCACGATTTAGCTTTAAACGAGGCTAATATGGATACCACAACCTATCGGTAAAAATGTCTTTAGATTTCAAATGATTTAATATGCCATAGAAACATCGAACAATTCCACCATCATGCTGGCTGATATTACTAATCTGGTCGTGCACGGCGCGTGCCAGATCAAGGACATAAATGATTTTATATATGAGTGACCCCCCTTCCCCTTTTTCAATTTTAGTTGTGTTTCATTTTAATTAGTTTATATGAATTTCATCTTCAACTGGTTTATGAATTTAATGTTGTCTTTAATTTCTGGTTTGCATAAAAAATATTGTTTTCGTCTTTCATAGCAATGTCAACATAAACATTATTAACAAGGAAGAATTATAAAAAAAATATACAGACGTCAGCCGTTAGAACACTATTTGAGTGCATGAAGCAATGTGTTGTTTCGTTTGATCTAAACAGAGCATAACATTTAGCGCAGTACTTTAAGGTAAAGGGCCAAGTAAACACATTAACGGATTATTTATGACTCTCCACGAGACGGCTCATAACAGCTAGGAATGTAGATTAAATACATATTGTACTTTGGTCTAGAAATAGAAACGGCCTTCACCTTGGTGACTTCACCGGCGAACGGCCTTGCCCTTGCACAATCGATTATACGTGACTCGAGAAGCTATTGTCCACGCTTCCTCATAAAAACCATAAATAAATTTGATCTATTACGATACTATGACGCACGAATCTAGAAATTTTTAATAAAGATGGAACAGAAAAAGCTCAACGCATCATATATTGTGAACTAGATACAGGAGCGAAGATTTAATGAAGGTTACACGACAGACTTGACTCGTCAGTATTTAAAACAATATATAGTGATATTGTTAGATGACAAACAACACAACAGGAATATCGCGAATCTTTTTTATATATAAAACTAAATAAAACAGAACACATCAAAATAGTCGGTATTTCCAAAATTTGATCAATTATCTAATACACCGAAACGAAATGAATTATTGGGAGAGGGTGAGAAATTGACTTTGATGTCCACTCGACACTAACTGGGTCATTTCGGGACTAACAAGGTTTAGTTTTAATTCAAAAATTCTCATATCCGTTAGTTAACAGTGGGAGGAAACAGGAGATCTAAAGCACACACATATTAGAACATTTACCTGGCCGGCCCTTCTGAACGAATCTTTTATATTCCTGGAACCCGGAAGATGTGTAGGTTAGCTGTATATGAATGTCGTGACATTTCTTTATTCTCTTTAAGATTAAGCAGCATAGAAGATATTAAAATAATTGGTAATTCTAAAATTAGTTTAATATCTAATTGATCGAAAAGACACGAATTATGGATTCGTTTAAAGACATGGGCGCGGCTATGGAATTGGATCCTGTGCGGATGTTTTAGATTCTGGGAAATTGGAAGATGTTATGTAAGAGAGAGATACAAACTAGGCATTTCGGGACTAGCACACAGTTCAGTTTAGATTGTAATAATTCGCTTACTCTGTAGCTGTTGGACAGGCGACCCTTGACTCAATGACAGACCTTGTGATTTCACGAGCACGCGTTAAACCGCTAGACTCGCCCCACCCCACCCCTGATGATAGGTAAGCATTATATGAATTCCTTTTATTGAGACATTTCTCTGTATGTGAAATCAAACTAGGAAGAAATTTGAAACTTTTTAATGATAATCAGCTTCGATAAACACCTATTTATAATTAATAAAAGGCTGTTAGAAGTTATAAGGGACAGAGAGTATATTTATTGAGTAAACGCAGGGCCCCCACAAGTCTATGTGGCGCCCCAGGGCAAAAGTTTCAGTGCCCCCCTCCCCGACTCCCTGCATACTGTTAACTGCTTTGTTGTGAAGATTGTATTTGTTTATACTTTGAACACTTTAGTCAAATAATTATGCCCAGTGGTTAATCCGGCGCTGAATTGCTGAAATATGAACTGATTTACACAGGTTTAGGGGAAGCGAGGCCGGTGGTTTGATATCTCAGGCCGCGCTCCCCCCCCCCCCCTTCGAATATTTATTTCTGCTATGCACTTAGATAATTTACTTCCCCAAAGAAGTGTCGCCCCGGGCATATGCCCCCGTCAGCCCTTCCCTATGTGAAGGCCCCGAGTAAAAGGTAGCCTCGAGTGTCATGCTACCAGTTGCCAATCCAGTGATTTAAATATAAAAATACAATCTATATACTGATTGAATAATATATACGGCCGTCTAAACGCCCACTCTCCGACTCTCAACAGAAACAAATGTTGGATCGAAACTGAGAGAGAGAGAGAGAAATGGGAATTAACGTCCACTCGACACAAACTAGGTCATTTCGGGACTAACATATGGTTTAATTTTATTTACATAATTCGCTTGCGCGTAGGGGTCTTTAGCAGTGGGAGGAAATCGGAGGTCCCGGAGAAAACCCACGAGGTTGGACAGGCGACCCTACTCCTTGCCACGTACAACCGGGGATTCGAAACCACGCCAGACGACTCAATGACAGACTTTATGATACAGCGCGCGCACGCTAACCATTCAGCCATCCAACCCCCCATGGATCGAAACTACTACTACAGCCTGAAGTGGTTGGGGGGGGGGGGAGCTAATGCTCGCGGGTTGGGCGGCCGAATCGTTAACACGTGCGCGTTTGATCATAAGGTCTGTCATTGAGTCAAGTGGCGTGATTTCGATTCTCCGCTTGTACGTGCCAAAGAGTAGGATCGTCCGTCTAACCTCCTTGGTTTTCTCCAGATCCCCCGGTTTCCCCCCACTGCTAAAGACCCATATGCGCAAGCGAATTATTTTAATAAAATTGAACAATATGTTAGTCCCGAGTGGAATGGACGTTAAATCCTATCAAGTTGTTTCAGCTTCTGAGTAAGCCAATGGACGATTGTCGTGAACTCAGTAGACTATGCTTGCCGCGTACTCGTTATAGAACAAATAAATGAAATGGGGTAAAGTGTCCTACTGTTTTTGCTCCACTGGGATAATGAAGACGGGCATACGCCATGGAACGTGTTATGAGGGAAATGTTTGCCCGGACAGCTGTGCGAAATCCTACTCTTATTTCGAATTCCAGCGGCCATGGGTTGTTCTATGTGCACGGGACCCCGGGTTTTCGCAACATTCGAACAACTATAGTCCCTATTCCCAGTCGTCTTGCACCACTGACAAGGGTAAACCACGCCGGAAAACCCGAAGAACATTCTCAGCCAACAACGGAATTGATTCGAGGACGACAAGGTTAGCGAGTCAGCGCCTTAGACATTGAGCCACCGCGGCTCCTAAAGCAAAGCCACATACACCTTTCCAATTATTAATATGTAATGGGTTGGGGGGGGGGTCTAGAAGTTTAACGCGTGCGCGTGAAACTTTAAGGTCTGTCAATGGGTCAAGTGGTGTGGTTGCGTTCCCCCGAATATAGGTGACAAGAAGTAGGGTCGCCTGTAAAACCTAATAATATTGAACCATATGTTAGTCCCGACATGACCTAGTCTGTGTCGAGTGGACGCTAATCTCTCTCTCTATCTCTCTCTCTCTCTATTTCAGAAAAAATAATTAGATATTACCATGTGCTGAAATGAAATGATGTGGGATTTATCGTCCTACTGTTGCCGTGTGCTATGGGGGAAATTTTGTCAGGACAACGGCGCTACGGCCTACACTTATATCAAATCCAACTGTCAAGGGTATTTTTAGGTGCACGCATATGTGAATACAGGACCTCGATTTTTCGTCCCATCTAAACGACTATACGTTGTTACCTGGCAGGCCCACAATGACAAGGGGAAACAACGACGGAAACATTCCAAACCGAGCGATTATTTTTGAAGAAACTTTGGCATATATATTTACACACAAAAACGATTGTAATATTTATTATTTCACACTCCAGTGATATCGTAAAATTCCGCCCTGCTCTATCAAAATGAGTACTATTCTCGAAAACTCGAAACAGGATATTAAAATGACTTTCGTTATGCACGCATATGAACTGGTAAACACTTCAAATCACGTGACTCTATATAATTAGTCATTTTGAATAATAGCGATAAACACTTGTCGAAGCGGTTGAATCGTAATATGGAATAATATATACACAACGTAAGTACATACAGTATGTAACTGAACCCTGTTCATTGTATTAGGATATCAAAATATGTCATGCATGTATGTCATGCAGCAAGTTCGTTGACAGTTATAAAACCACTATGAAAATGAAATTAAATGAAATTATATGAAATGGTGTTTAACGTTTTACTGTTCTGCGCTGACGGGCATACGCCATACCAGTGTGCTATACGGGAACTTTTACCCAAACGGCGGCTACGACCTACTCTTATATCGAATTCTCCCCGGTTGTACGTGACAAGGAGTAGGGTTGCCTGTCCAACCTCGTGTTTTTTCTCCGGGTCCTCCGGTTTCCTCCCACTGCTAAAGACCCCTACGCGCAAGCGAATTATGAAATAAAATTAAACCGTATGTTAGTCCCGAAATGACCTAGTTTGTGTCGAGTGGACGTTAAACCCCATTTCTCTATCTCTCTTTATATCGAATTCTAACTGGCAATGGATCTTTTACGTGTACACGGGACCTCGGGTTTTCGTCCCATCCGAACGACTAGACAGATGTATAAAAGAGGGGTTCACTATATTAAAGAAGCTAAACCTCTAACTCGATATTTTTCATAAAATTCGAAATTAAAACTACGAATAAGAATTTAATATAAGCCCATTTCAATCAATATTGATGTTGTTATATTGTCGATCATAATATCCAATGTTTAAGACATACTGAACATTTTAAAATCAGTGATTTCGGGCGTCATTTTTATGCACACAAAAAAAAACATATCTACAACACAATGTGGAAGTAATTAGTAATGACTGATTCATAAACGACAAAATAATAAAATAAAAGCGTAGAATGGACTAAGCAAGCGTGAACGACTGTCGTTCAGTTTGGAATGTTCTGGTTTTTCACCGAATATATTTGATTAGAAATTACAGTAATGTGATAAACTGAATATCAATCACTTAATATACACACATATGACGTCAATATGCGTTTTAAGATTTATTATCGTCTATTTTAAACAAGAAATTTAAATAAATTGGTTACGACTCCCCCACAAACACCGACATCCTCGGATCAGATATTTCAAACTTTTATTTTTATTACGCCACTGAAGCAATGGCGGCGCCATGTTAGTGGGGGGGGGGGCGAGGGGGGTGGTCCTCCAATAAATCTGGTCTGCCCTCTGTTTGTAATATGTTTTGGTAATCAAAACCTCCTACGGTGATTAATTCCCACTAAATCATAGATTTGTAGTTGTGGTGTCCTAGTGATTTCTTACCGGAACCATCCGGCTCTAAACCTACACAAACAATAACACGCGAACCTCTTGAAAGCGCGTTTTAGGAGCCTCAAAGTGTTCTGGGCACAGATTCAACGCGACAAGAATATTCAATCACTTCGTTCGTTTGACACCTGTCTCTCTGGTGACAGACAGTATCTGGTGAGATCTATTTATCTCGACGACCAGTGTCTGAAATACTGCCAGGTTGCATTTCTCAAAATATCGTGGCGAAAATACTCATTCACTTTGATTCACTCACTCCGTTCGTTTGACACTTTCAACTGTGGCCGGATAATCTAGTGATTTAGCAACAAGTGTTATATGGCCAGCTCTATCTATCTCGACAATCGGTGCCAGAATACTGTCAGACTGAATTTCCGGCAGCCTATTTTTCAAAATTTTCGGGTCGAGATCCACCATACCCTCCGTAAGGACTCGCTACTTTGGTGCTCGTTTGACACTTTCCACTTGGATAAACTAGTGGTCAGGCAATAGGCGGTATTTGGTCAGATCTATTTGTCTCGACGATCAGTGCCTGAAATACTGCCAGACTGCATTTTCGGCAGTCTGTTTTAAAAAAAAATGGGTGAGCACCCCATACCCCTTGTTTATGCTCGAACCTTTGCCCTCTTAGCTTTGGACTTTGCCCCTCCAACCACCGGTTCGCTACTTTGGTGCTCACGGGGTGCTCATGGGATGGGTGGGATGGGGGCTACATTAATGGTTCGCAAGTCCGATCGTTTGATACTTTCCACTCGAATAAACTAGTGGTCGGCCGACAGGCGGTGTCTGTTCATATCTATTTATCTCGACGATCAATGCCTGAAATTCTGCCGGACTGCATTTTCGGCAGTCTGTATTTTAAAAATGGGTGAGGCCCTTGTTGATGCTCGAGTCTTTGCCCCCTTTACCTTATACCCCCCCCCCACCACCACCAGCGGCTGGACTGAACAACAACTTCAAGCGTAAGTACACTGGATACTATGGCATAATTAGGTCATCTGCTCCACGACTGACGACTTTAAATCCACGACGATACATTTAAAAAGTATTTTGTTATTTTGGATACAGTCGCTGCAAAATTCAAATCACGACATAGAAATACGAATTCAAACGCGATGATACAGATAAAGCTCCATACTGTTGCTTCACAAGTAACCATATCAGGAAAGTTTGGTTTGGTTTTCGAAAAAGCCATTGCAAAAATATGACTTTGACAAAGTGTGTGCACGTGTTTTCGACATATATTTTCATCTGTAACCCAGTCAATAATTTTTAGTTGAATTATTTGGGAACTAATTTCCAAGATGATAGTACTACCAGCCGTTAGATCAGAAACGTGTTTCGTTGCTAATCTCATCAATACATGATCGCAGCATCACATGTATCTGGTACAGAGGGGGATCACGTGGCTAAGTGGGTAAGACGCTGGCTCGCTGGCCTGGAGGTCGGGTGTTCGATCCCTGCATTGGCCGAGAAAGTTCATCCAGATTTTCCGGCGTGGTTCATCCACGCCGTGGTTATATCGAATTCCAACTGCCAAGGGATCTTTTACGTGCACGCCAATGTGTACACGGGACCTCGGTTTTTCGTCCCATCCGAACGACTAGACAGCTGTCCTTGTCAGGCCCTCCGTTCTGCACCACTGACAAGGGGAAACCACGTCGGAAAATCCAGATGAACTTTCTCGGCCAATGCAGGGATCGAACACCCGACCTCCAGGCTAGCGAGCCAGTGTCTTAGGTACTTAGCCACCGTGATCCCCTCGTTAAATCAAATGTCACACTGTGCCGAAATAGCTTACACGTATATATACCGTGTGTGAAATCTTTAGCTCAAAATATTAAAATTAAATTAAATGAGGTTTAATGACCTATTTTTCTATACTGACTGGGCTAATAAAGACACTGTGCTATGATGGTAATTTTGCCCTGACAGTGGTACTGGGGACTTGTCTTAATTTCGAATTCCAATGTGTAAAGTCGACCCCGGGTATTCGTGCAATGTTTAATTTTATTGAGTTACCAGATAAAACGCGACTACTGGACATTGTAAATTAAAGCGCAGCAATCACCTGTAATATTATATTACTCGATTAAAAACAACATAAAAGCGAAAGTAAAGTCGGAAGTTGTCACTGCGCGCATATCTGACCTGAATTTGACAGCTAGGTTTCTCTAGCTATTTGACAAGCTTGCGGTTTGGTGGTCTAGTGGGTTAACACGTGCGCGTGATATCACATGATCTGTCATTGAACCAAAGGGTGTGGTTTTGATTCCCCGTTTGTACGTGACAAGGAATTAGGTCGCCTGTTCAACATCGTGGGTTTTCTCCAGGTCCTTCGGTTGCCTCTCACAGCTAAAGACACCTACGCACAGGCCAATTATCGAAATAAAAGTGAACTGTGACTTATTCCAGAAATCCCCCCCTCTCTCTCTCTTTCTCTCTCTTTAGAAACGTATTAAAATAGAACCTAAACTCCAATTCATAGGATTCTTTTCAACAGGCGTTTGTACAGAGAGAGGGGGGGAGGGGCGGGGGCTTAACGTCCACTCGACACAAACTAGGTCATTTCGGGACTACCACATGGTTCAATTTTACTTCAATAATTCGCTAGCGCGTAGGGGTCTTTAGCACTGAGAGGAAACCGGAGCACCCGGAGAAAACCTATGAGGCAGAGCATATAGCTTTCTCCTAAATTTATCGAACAAACAAGGTACGAAAAATTGCCGTCGCTTTGGTCTCTAGTCATATACATGTATGGCTTTAAATGAGCAGAAATAATGCCTCAGTGCAACTGTCCCGTAATTCCTCAGACCTCAAGTCAAACTTGACGTTGTCTAGACGTTGTACGCTCCAATTCCTTTAAACGCCCCAGTTCTATCCACATGTGACTCGTATGACTAATGAATAGAATGAAGTCTGGGTTTGTAAAAAAAAAAAATAAAAGTACAAATTCTAGAATGTAAATAATAATAATAATAATAATAAAATAAATAACAGTGCAAATTCTTGGGTATGAATAAATAACGTGTTCCAGATTCGGGCAGCGATTAATCAAACCAACCAAGTGTTCTGCCCTCTAGCGGTCTATTATTAACAAAAGCAATCGTGTCCAAAATCTACGAGGTCCCGTGTACGCGTTTCCGTGGACGTAAAAGAATCCTTAACAGATGGTATTGGAAATGATGTTCTGAAATAGCTTATGTATGGAATCTTTAGCAAGTAATATTGAAATAAAATAAAATGGGGTTTAACGCCCCGACTGGCCTAATAAAGACGAGCATACAGTGTGTTATGTGTGAAATTTTGCCCCCGGACAGTGTCACTGTGGACTACACTTATTTCGAATTCCAACTATCAAGGGTTCTTTTACGTGCACACCAATGTTCTACAGAGTATTTCTTCTAATTCGGGGTTACTTCTTCGTGTGGGGATAATTTTAATTTTATGTGGTCGGATAAATAATTTGGAACCGTGGTATTAATAATTTTCTTTATTGTATCTAATTTGTGTCTTTTTCTTCTCTCATTCAAAGGAATAATACCAGTTTCCAGATAGAGTAAACGGTGGCTGGTTCACTTTACAGCCCCACAAATAATGCGTGAGGCATCACGTTGAAGGTGTTCGACTTGATTCGCTAGGTGATCATTGCAACTGTCTCAAATACTGTCGCCGTAGTCGGTAGTATATAAGAATTGTAAATTATTAAAAGTGATTTTCTATTTAACCTGTACTTTAGGGATCTTAAACAATTGATTAATTTTGATGCTTTATTACAAATATTTTTATGTGGATATCCCATTTCAGTTTGTGTTGGAAGATAAATGTTTGTGGTTTGCACATCATTTATTTTAACACTGTTCAAAAAAAGTGGTGACGTGTTATTGTATGATTTGATAGGCCTTAGTACTGATTCTGTTTTTATGGGATTGAAGGAAACCAGCCATGTTTTGGAACAGGTTTTGATTTTATCGAAATCCGAATTCATTATTCTCTCATTTTCTGACGAATTTGTCATCATTAAGCAGAGAGACGTATCATCAGCAAGCAGTTTAATATTTGATTGAACATTTTCAGTGATGTCATTAATGCAGATAAACAACAGAAGCGGTCCAAGAACGGAGCCCTGTGAAACATCATTTATATAAAGCGGCCATTTTGGACTCCGGAAGCACCCGAACCTCGATAAACTACTAGAAGGTTTTATTTGTACCGTGCGGTAAGGACGACCAGCCCTCGATAAACTACTAGAAGGTTTTATTACTCAACAAATACCTTCTCGAAGCATGTAATAAAATCTAATCGGGTGGAACAACACACTTTGGTCGACCAGTTATTATAACTCTTAAACCAACTGTACAATTCATCTCTGACCCCGAAAAAAATTGAACTTCAGGCAGAGTCTGGAATGCGAAACCATATAGAATGCTTTGCTGATGTCACAGAATGCTGTTCTTGTACAATAGCCCTTATCGATTGCATAACAATAAAAATCAATTTAGTATAGAAGTCGATAGATAGATTCCGATTGAAAAATAGTTCCACTTCCATGCGACGGCGATAACTTGCTGTGGTGGTTATAGGGCTCTCGAATACAATATTGAAATATTTTGTTTTTAAAACCTTCACCGACAAACATGATAACAACCAAGATCTGAATATTACCAAAACAAAAAACGTAATTTCTCACTGGGCCACCATGGCTCCTATTACAACCTAGTATAGTATAAATCAATCAATGACAGCTGATAATCAATTATTATTTATTTATCGTAGTGAGTTTTTCATCAATGGCATCAACCAGTTACTATATAAACACAGGTTACTATATCGATTACGGAATAAACAGGAGTGTTTCCATTAGGTTTTCCAGTGCATTCATCCAAATATATACATTATTTCTGACGAGCTCCCCAGATGAGTTCAAAATGTTAAAATGTTATAAAACTAGTGTTGAAATCAGTTTACGTCGGCATACCTTTTATCTTTTCATCGTTTACCGTGAAACCAAGTTTTGTTCAGCTTTACGGCTGTGCTAATATTTTTGAATATACATGTACGTACATATACACATATTATATTTGTCATAAATCGATCCAGTGTCTTTGCTTCATAAACATTTTTCGGTGTTAGCGTTGGATGGCTTAATGGTTAGCGTGTAAGCGCTGTATCATAAAGTCTGTCATTGAGTCAACTGGTGTGGTTTCGATTCCCCAGGAGGGATAATGAGTAGGGACGCCTGTCCAACCTCGTGGGTTTTCTCCGGGTCCTCCGGTTTCCTCCCACTGCTAAAGACCCCTACGCGCAAGCAAATTATTGAAATAAAATTAAACCATACGTTAGTCCCAAAATGACCTAGTTTAGGTCGAGTGGACGTTAACCCCCATTTCTCTTTCTCTCTCTCTCTCTCTCTTTTTTCGGGCTTAAAATGTTATATAAATTATTAATTAGACATTTATTAACATGATCGTAATCAACTCTCGATGTCATCGGATATCTCTGATATTAAGTAGATTAGAACGGTTCAGCCATAGATTGATTTAATTTAAAAATGAATAAGCGAGGCTTAGCTTCGAACAACCAGTGCAGTGGTTACAATTAGCGCACACATCCTGTCAAAACCTTCAAATGCTAATATCTTCGCTCACAAGGGAGTAATTTAAATGAAGATTTCAATATATTCATTTTACATTATCTATTATCGAACTATTATAGCAAGAATGGCTAACTCTTTATCTAAATCTTACATAATGTATCTTTAAGTGATGGCGTTTCTAACCTCCGCCCTTTATTCACTATTTCACTCTAAGGACTTCAGTTATAAGAACAATACCTGCATTGGCCAAGAAAGTTCATCAGGATTTTCCGACGTGGTTTCCCCTTGTCAGTGGTGCAGAACGGAGGGCCTGACAAGGACAGCTGTCTAGTCCTTCGGATGAGACGCAAAACCGAGGTCCCGTGTATATATTGGAATGCACGTAAAAGATCCCCTGGCAGTTGGGATTCGATATAAGTGTAGGCGACGGTGCCGCTGCCCGGGCAAAATTTCCCTCATAGCACACTGTATGGCGCATGCCCGTCTATATTAGCCCAGTATAGGAGCAGAACAGTAGGACGTTAAACCCCATTTCATTTCATTTTTATTTTTATAGGAACAATACATCCGTGAAAAATGCAATACATTAAAATATAAAAATTGAATCCCATTTATACCCCACTCTTTGGAACACCAACAGGACATTAGAAATTGGCTTCATCTATTTAAAAAAAAACTACACAGCACCGGAAGACCATTTTGTATATTTCCTGGTATAAGTTTAACAAAAATAAGCGCAGAAAAAACCCTTTTAAAGTATTCTTTAGATGTCAGTCTAACACGTTAGGTGCCATATTAGGTCTGGAAGTTCGTGCCTTATCGGTAGTTATTAGACAAGAGGGAAAACTTGGAGACATTATACTAATGGAAAGTTTGGGGAAATTTTCAAGGCCGTAACTCCCACTTGGATTGATCGATCGGAATACTGTTTGGATCAAAATGCTTTTAAGAACCATTACATTTTATTGTGAATAGTATGGAATATTGTTTGTTTTTATTGATAAATTGTTGCCTTCCAAATATAGATCAATTGTTTGAATAACATTTAGTAATCAGATCGTTAACAAATAAAGCACTATTTGACTTAAATACATAATATATATAGTTTGCAATGCAAACACTGTGCCACGTTAATGACTTTAAACAATGTTATTATGATCATGTATACAACTATCCAAACCATATGTTATATAAAATTACACGTACACTGATTTTATCAATACTTCTATTAAATACTTGAAAGTGTAATATATATAAATGTAATATTAGTATGAGGTTGAAGAAAATAGGCATTGTTTACAAAACTGTTATCGATAAAACTACACGTACAAATAGCATGGGCAATATATATATATATATATATATATATATATATATAAACTAGCGGTTGACACGGCCAAGCACGGGTATAGCCATAAACCGGGAGTAGCATAACTCCGAAACCGGAAGTGGTAGACCATCCCCACCAGGCCTATGTTACTCCCTGATCCGAGCTACCCCTATACACCACATTTCAGCCTCGGGACTGCTCCAGTGTAGCTGCTAACCCTAAACAGACAAACACACGACCGTCACAAATATCAGTATAGATTTGTATACACGATACAGGGACAAAACAACTAATATACATATCAATAACATCACGTTGTGTGAAAATAACCATTCTTTATAGTTATGACTATACTCTAGTAGTTCATGTGTCATGACACGGGCTTAACCTCTCTGCACCAAGTGGGGTAATGAAGACAGACATACCACATGCAGTGTACTCGGATGGCAATGAGTCTACTTGTCGAATTCCAACTGCCTAATGTTCTTTTATTTCCACGTCAAAATGTACAATGTATATTCGTGTTTTCGCCTCCGCCGATCGAATTGAAGCCATGTATCAATTTGTTTTACAGACGTATTGCAAAAGCCTTCTTATAAATCTGCATAAGATGATTGACCTTTTATAAGTTCAAGTATGTCTTCTACATGTGACGCCACGTCACACACTTCGATCATTGGTTCAATGGCGCGTGCATTGTTTACACGAGACTGGACGGGTAGAATGGGACCTTTTACTTCAAACACCTTTATCTATTTTACTAATACTTCAAAACAATTTTACTAAAATTTTATTTACAGAAGGAAAAAAAGTTAATATTGCAAGCTCGTTTACCCACGCCGATGTCATCCCTTTCAGTGATTGTAGCTGCCTAGCGAATATTTTACTGCTGATCAGTATGGTCATGCATTACCAACAAGAGCAATCCTAGGCTTGTAAATCAAGAGAGAGAGAAAGAGAGAGAGAGAGGGAGAGAGAGAGAGGGGTTAACGTCCACTCAACACAAACTAGGTCATTTCGGGACTAACATGGTTCAATTTTATTTCAATAATTCGTTTGCGCGTAGGGATCGTTAGCAGTGGGAGGAAACCGGAGGACCCGGAGAAAACCCACGAGGTTGGACAGGCGACCCTACTCCTTGTCACGTACAGGCGAGAAATCAAAACCACACCACTTGACTCAATGACAGACCTTATGATGCAACGCCGCGTCGTTAACCATTCGCCCCTCTGCTCAGCTTGACTATTAATACCCGCGTCAGACCGGGGTAGTCCTTACTGCACTGTTACTGCGACGGAAAATGGTCTCAGTGCGCGCTAAGAGTGCCATAAGCGTTGTATAAGCGTGATGGAAACGCCAGATATCGTGCTGTGGTCTCCATGGTCGCCAATGATCGCCAAGCCACGGCGGTTGTTTTGAGCATGTTCAAAAGTCTGCGATCTGACCTGGAAAGCTGTGAGAACGAAGCCTTTTTTCAAGTTTGTAATTTTTGGGGACATTTCTCGCGTTGTGTTCACTTTTGCCGGCGACCTTATGCATTTTCTGGTCGCCGTACCGTCGCAGCAGCGCAGTAAAGATGCCATCCCGGTCTGACGGGGGCATAAGAGGAACTTGTAGTATGTATATCAAGGACTTAATTCATTTGTATAAAAGTAGGAATCAATATTTCCCTATTAAAATAATTTCTGATTAATTCATTTTAAACAAAAAAATTAACGCGGTTTTAACAAGAAAATTTTCCAATATAGGCTTGTAATAAATAAAGCGGTATATATAAATTAATAAAAATTATGTTTCCCAGTCCAAGCTTTTAGAGGTGGGATCACGGTGGCTAAGTGGGTTAGACGCTGGCTCACTAGCCTGGAGATCGGGTGTTCGATCCCTGCATTGGTGGAGAAAGTTCATCCAGATTTTCCGGCGTGGTCCCCCCTTGACAGTGATGCAGGACGGAGGGCCTGACAAGGACAGCTGTCTAGTCGTTAGGATGGGACGAAAAACCGAGGTCCCGTGTACACATTGGCGTACACGTAAAAGATCCCTTGACAGTTGGAATTCGATATGAGAGTAGGCCGTTCGGGCAAAATCTCCCTCATAGCACACTGTATGGCGAATGCCCGTCTTCATTAGCCCAGTTCGGAGCAGAACAGTTGGACGTTAAACCCCATTTCCAAGGTTTTAGAGCTAACAAAGTAAACCTCAATGTACGCAGGCAATGTACGCTCAATGTACATAATGTCTATGTACCCAATTCAAAATGTTTTTTTGAAATAAATTCAAGAGGTTTTACCCACAGTGGTTGCGGGCTTTAACCCCGACTGACTTTGAAATGTTTCTATAACTTTAAAATGTAAATCATATAAGATACTGCTCCTACCATTGACGATCCAATCGAAGCGGAAGTAAATTGATATGTTTGACATTTCAGACCACAGAGAAAAAAATCCAGATATGTGTCAAAAGAAAAGATATTCTTTATTGCACGTTTTTTTTTTATATTTGACAAGAAAATCCACCATATTCTAGAGTTTTTGTTAAATCCAACCGCAGAAAAAAAGAAATCTCCGAAACAGACTGTTTTTACTTCTCTACACTTTTGTTTTTAAACAGGAAGAATTAAAATTGACATTGCACACTCCAACTATGGCACGGTGGTGGTGGGGGGGCGGGGTGGGGTGGATGGCGAATGGTTAGCGCGTGCGCGTTATATCATAAGGTCTGTCATTCAGTCAGCTGGCGTGGTTTCGATTCCCCGGTTGTACGTGACAAGGAGTAGGGTCGCCTGCCCAACTTCGTGGGTTTTCTCCGGGTCATCCGGTTTTACCCACTGCTAAAGACTCTTACGCGCAAGCGAATTATTAAAATAAAATTCAACCAAATGTTAATCCCGAAATGACCTAGTTTGTGTCGAGTGGACGTTAAATCGAATTTGGGCACGGATAAATTTGGTCCCCGGGCGAATTTGGGCCCCTAGCGAATTTGGGCCCCGGGGCAAGCCGGGTATCCTTCTAAAATGGACATTAAAGGGTGATTATGTTGCTTTC